CGTTTAAAAGTGAAATGATTTTCTTACCCACGTTAATATTAAACCCTGTTTTGAATCTCGAAAAAAATCGATGTGCGCGATTCTTAAAAGTGAAATGATTTTCTTGATTTTTTTGATTCTTGAAATGATTTTTTTTTAAACAATTAGTTTTCTTTTTTCAAAAATAGCTTTTTATATTTTATTGCCGATAAAATATTAGTAGATGGATAGATCTAGACTTAATACTAATATTAATAAAATAATAGGTTGATGCATAAGTCTTTTCGTTCCTTTTCGTCTGCCGTTTCAAGCCAACAAATGCACCAATTAAACTACGGTTGATTCCATTAGAAAAACCAATTATTTTTCTGCAAAATAACATTAAAACGGGTTTTTAAAATATTTTATGCCTGGATTTTCTTGAGAGTATGAAGTCGGGTAGTCAAAAAGGGCTAACTCGATGATGCGGTTTAGACACCTTAGCTAAAGAAAACCTATCTTCGTAGTCAATAGATAAAAGATAGAGAAAAAAAAGTTTGATATTTCGCCAAAATTTCAGAGAAATTCATTCAGCCAATTTTTCCGTAGAGTTTTTTATAGATTTTTACGAAAAAGGCGTTTTTCACTCTCGAATTTGCTTCAAAGTGAACCGAAATTCATTTAAAAAGATGCAAATTGAACAAAAAACACTTTTTATTTAGAGAAAAGCATAGGTTAATTGGTGAATTTGTTACTTTTTAACAGAAGTACGAAAAAAACGAAAAGACTTTTGCATCAACCTAATATTAATAAAATATTAAAATTATTAATATTAATAAAATATTAGTATTAAGTATAGATCTATCCATAGAACCCCCACAAGAGGAGGGGAGTCTAAAGTCAATATTTCGAGGGGTCAGAGGTGTCATTCTAACAAAGCATTTACGATAATATAAATATGCTTTATTCAGGGGGCGAATAGAAGCGAATCAGATAATCATAACCGCATATAACATATTGCATATAGTAAAGAGATTCTGAAATTCGGCTCTTTTTTTTTGTTTATAGTTGTTGAGATTTGTTGTTGTTGTGCTTTCCTTTTCCCTATCTCTTTTTTTTTATTTTCCAGGGTATGCATGTGGTACAGTCTCTACAAATCTCAAACTGAACCTCTCGAAACACAACGAACGCTTCTCTATTTTCTTAGTAAATTACTTGAAGATTAGCTAGACAATAGTTGAAATCGAAAATCGGGGGGTAGTCAAAACAGCGCCATAATAGAAAACGTTCAAAACAGCGCCGTCAAATTTCTCAAAATCCAAAAAACCAAGCCGGTTCAAGTTTTATCTCAAAAAATTCCTTGCGTTCTTGGCTACATGATGGGTGAAACAGTTTTTTAAAAAAGTTCATATTTCATAGATAAAAAGAGCACTCAAAATGTGTGTCGAGTGATACTCAGTTGGTTAACTGAATATCTTTAGAGACCCATTTTGGTTTTTTGGATTTTGAGAAATTTGACGGCGCTGTTTTGAACGTTTTCTATTATGGCGCTGTTTTGAACGTTTTCTATTATGGCGCTGTTTTGCCCCCCCCGAAAATCCAAGATTATGATCTTTCCATTTCTAGGTATGGCCACAGATGTCTGGGCTCTAATTCGCGGTGATAACGAAAAAGAGCTTGAGGATTATCTGGAAAGATACGAGCACGATATAAAGGTTTGTGAAATAACTTCTTTCTTACTTGCTTTCTTTCTTACTTACTTACTCTCTTACTTACTTTCTTTCTTACTTTCTTTCTTACTTTCTTTCTTACTTACTTCCTCACTTTCTTAATTTCTTTCTTACTTTCTTACTTACTTTCTTACTTCCTTACTTTCTTTCTTACTTTCTTTCTTACTTTCTTTCTTACTTTCTTACTTTCTTACTTACTTCCTCACTTTCTTACTTTCTTTCTTACTTACTTTCTTTCTTACTTACTTACTTTCTTACTTACTTCCTTACTTTCTACTTACCTTACTTTCTTTCTTACTTTCTTACTTTCTTACTTACTTGAATTTTCCTGCTTAATCTATTTCGAGATCTATTTCTATTGAATCGAAATGGTCAATTTTCATCTAAAATTTTTTTGGCATAGATTGAATTGTTGTCAGTCCATTTGGAAATGACTAATATAAAAAGTAAATTAAGTTTGCAGTTAAAAGTAAAGTAAATTTGAATTTCTTCTTGTTTAATTTAAAACAAGTACTACATAATTTGCATAGAAAATGAAAATGCAGCCTCTCCCAACGCCCCATCCACTATTTCCTTATCAGCCGAATCGAGGCTCGAAGGATCGGCTTACGTGTCTCTTTTTGCAATGAAAGAATCAAGAAAAATTCAAGTTTAATATTAAATAATCTTTAAATATTATATAGTATTTAATAAACGAAAGCGCAATTATAAAGAAACTAGCTTTTTTTGTATTTTCAGAAAATAGAAGAAGTTGCGAATCTCCTCGATAAAGCAATCAACGAATCGAAGCGACGTTGTGGAGAGATTCAAAAGGAAATTCTATTGGAACAAAATCAAGTCAAAATTTTTTAGATTTTAAATCACAAACTCGTTTTCAGCTTAAAATCGAGATACTTGCTCGAGAGTTGTGCGTTCAACGTCACATTCACGCATTGACAATCACGAGAAACGCCAAATTTTTCAATAGAGTCCGAGTTTTAAATCATTTTTATCGTTTTTAAACAAACCAAATTTCTCTTTTACTCTTCTCAAATCACCTTTTTCTTTTTCCTTTTTTTCTAAAACTTTGATTTCCGTTTCTAAAACGTGTCAACTTTCAAAAAAAAACTACTGTAATTTTTCAACCGTAAATACTGTAATAGTACCCCACCCCCCTCGTACAGTCGCGTAGTCGCAAAAGTTTTTTAGTATTTCATTTTTTTCAAAGCGCTTGTGCTTTCAAAAAATGCGTCTTTGGTATCAAAAAATAGCTGAAATTCAGGGCTATTTTTTTGATACCTAAACCCGCATTGTAGCATAAACCAGTGTCAAGAAAAACGCGTTCAAAGCTAGACTACGCAACACTCTGCACCGTCATTATGGGGGTGGGGTACTATTACAATATTTACGGTAGGCAGTTCTTTAGAAAAAGCTCAACTTTCACCAATGAGCTTTACAGTATTTACGGTAGGTTTTCCAGAAAGTCTTTTCGTTCCTTTTTGGTAATTCCGTTGAAAAATAACAAATTCACCAAGTAACCTATGGTTTATTTCATTAGAAAGGTCAATTATATTTTGTTTCATTAGAAAACGCAAGGAGAATATCTACCGTAAATACTGTAATAGTACCCTTGTAAAGTCGCGTAGTTGCAGTCGCAAAAGTTTTTTAGTATTTCATTTTTTTTCAAAGCGCTTGTGCTTTCAAAAAATGCGTCTTGAGTATCAAAAAAGTAGCTGAAATTCAGGGCTATTTTTTGATACCTAAACGCGCATTGTAGCATAAACCAGTGTCGAGAAAAACTCGTTCAAAGCTAGACTACGCAACACTCCGCACCGTCATTATGAGGGTGGGGTACTATCACAGTATTTACGGTAGGTTTTTATCCAGTTACATTTCGAACTCTGGCTTTAGATCTGTCTTCTAATGTCTTATAATCTTCTCCTTGTGAATGAATCATTTGTCAAATTGATTCATTGATTAAATTTGGCTTAGTTTAGTCCTGATTTAGCCCTGGTTTAGCCCTAGTTTCTGATTTCTTTCAAAAGCTAATAGCTTAATCGAAAAAGAATTTCTTATCAAATTTAATCAATGACTCAATTTGACAAATGATTCACTCAAAGAAAAGCCGCTCCCAAAAAGGAAATTGAATTGTAATCCCGAAATACTGAAGGAATTTTTGAGAGAGAAGAATTCCCAATGATTACTTCACACTTATTGCAAAAAAAGAAAGACCGATCCTGCCAAAAAGAAAGACTTCAGAGCCCATTCTTCGGCGCCTATTAAACGCTTTTTTTCGCTTAAAAAGTGAGGAATCTCATAAGAAAAAGTGAAAAAAAAAGAGAATAAAAAGAATAAAGAGTGATATCTTGAATGCTTTTCTCTTTCTTGTTTCTCTTTTTCTTTCCCCTTTTCTTTGCTTGATTCCCCTTTGATAAGAAAGTCGATGAATGGGTGTTTACGAGGGGCTCCAACCCTTCCAACCTCTTCAATTTTCATTCTTTTAATCAAGAATAAACCGCTTTCCATTCAATCATACACTATTGATTTTTTTTATTTTACAAAATCTCTTATTGATCTTTGATTTCAATCATTGATTCCCCCATCAAGCTCACAAGCATCAAGCTCACCCTTCTGCCATTTAACAAGCAGCTTTTCTTTCTTCTAAAGTTTGACTCAGCCGTTTTCTAAAAGGCTACACTACTGGACAATGAAATATCATATTTGAAAAAGCTTCCTCGTTGAAAGATCGTTGAAAAAAGATCGTCACAAAAAGATCGTCTGTAACTCCCTTGTCTTTACCGTATTTCTAAATATTAATATTACCATTGTGTAGCCCTTGAAAAGAGCTTTCAGAAAATGTATAACACTAATAGTTTAAACTCAAAGACAAGGGGAGTTACAGACGCGCGAAAGTGGCGATCGTTTTTCAAATATCATATTTCATTGTCCAGTACTGTATAAACCATAAAATTTCGAGAATTTATGAATTTTTATGGTTTATACAGTACTGGACAATGAAATATCATATTTGAAAAAAGATCGTTAATTTGCGCGTCTGTAACTCCCTTGTCTTTACCGTATTTCTAAATATTAATATCACCATTGTGTAGCCATTGAAAAGAGCTTTCAGAAAATGTATAACACTAATAGTTTAAACTCAAAGACAAGGAAGTTACAGCTTACTGCTTACCAGTTACTAGATACAGTACTGGACAATGAAATATGATATTTGAAAAACGATCGTCACTTTCGCGCGTCTGTAACTCCCCTTGTCTTTGAGTTTAAACTATTAGTGTTATACATTTTCTGAAAGCTCTTTTCAAGCGCTACACAATGGTAATATTAATATTTAGAAATACGGTAAAGACAAGGGAGTTACAGACGTGCGAAAGTGACGATCTTTTTTCAAATATCATATTTCATTGTCCAGTAGATGTATATCTAAAGAGTTTTATCTAAATTTTTGTTAAAAATACAACTGAAACCAAGCATTTAAACTATTTACAATACTTTTAAAGCTTTAAAACAATTTATTCAAAATCATTAAATTAACAATCATCATTTTCCTAACTTCGACTTCAGAAATACCCATCAACAAACACCGGACAATCATTGAGAAACGAGTACTTCACACAGAAAAGACTCAGAGAGGTTTGTAATAAAAAAAAAGAAATTTGAAAGAAAATGATATCACTTTAGGCAGAACGTCGGAATCTTTTGATTCGAGATTCTTCGGAAGAGTTTGTGAAAGAAATTCCAAGGTATAGATGAGTCATCGACTCGCTGTCATGCAATTTTCCTTTTTAGACCAGAGCTTCTAGGTCGGCTAAATTCCGTTCAACCGATAACAATTGAAAAAGAACAAAAAAGGAGTTTAAAAAAGGAAATACTCGGCGGATCACTAGAGACCACAATGACAGGTTCGTCGAAAGAAAAAGATAATTTGATTTGATTTTGATTTTGATTTGATTTGATTTGATTTTATTTTATTTTATTTGATTTGATTTGATTTTGATTTTGATTTGATTTGATTTGATTTGATTTGATTTGATTTGATTTGATTTGATTTAACACGTTGACGACAATGGCGTTTTTGCACAAACAATCGCATGGGACAACGTTGTTTTTTTTCGACAAAAAATGTCACCTGAAATTGTCACCTAAAAAATTAAAATTTTAATAATCAACGGTTAAATCGACATTTTCCGGGACCAAGTCGAATATAGATACTACCCTACTTGCTTATTTAATATCCATCATCAGCAAACATATGCACTTGTAATATGCACAAAAAAAAATCAATTTTGGTACTGTCACCTGACATTAGGTGACAATGTCCCAGGCGAACGAATATGTGTCAGACGGCATCAGGTGACAATGTCGTCAACGTGTTAAGAACAAAATCAAATCAAAATCAAATCAAATCAAATCAAGTTCTAAATTTGATTCTTAATTAATAAAAAACATTGTTAAGTACAATAAATTGTTATAAATTTTAGAAGTTAGATGTTAGACAATTGCTCTTTTCACTAAAAATTGAAAGTTAGTTAGAAAGTTAGAAAGTTAAATGTTAGGAAATTGCTTTCAACTCTAGAGTTCCGTGATCTCAACGATTAGCTTTGATTCTAGACTTCGTAAAACAAAAATAGCATTATATTATAGACCAGTATCGATCTCCAAATCAAGGTACAAACATCAAATCAGTCCAAGATGATCCAGTGAGTCAAAGCAATCTTATTATTATTATTATGATTTCATTTCTCAGATTGACCACCCACCACAACAACTTTCAATGGGTTATCAAGAGTTTCGTCAAGATCGACAAAGCGCGGAAGTGACAGGGACCTATCAAGAGCAATTAGGCGATTCACTTGGATACGAAGAAATGGCACACGTCGAGTTGCACATTGAGGGAGATTCTCGGGGAATCAAGAAAGAGCAAATCGCTCATACTCATATTGCTTCATCGCAAGGAAATCAAAAACCGAATGAACGAGTCCCAACAAGTCATTCGCATGAAACTCAACTCATCGACAAGCATGAAGAACATCCACATGAACATAAACACAAAACGATTCTAGGGAAAACGTCATCAGCAATCAACAGAGCTCTAGAAAATCTTCATATCAAGAAATCGAAGAAAGAGACAAGAAGTGGATCCTCTGGATCAGAGGGAAGTCGAAAGAATACACAAGAGATTCATATTGTTTCGCAAGCTATTGCTGATCCACAAGATCCGGATAATATCGAGAATCGTTTGCTTAGATCTGGTGTACCACATGTGGATAAAACTCGACTCAATCAATTGGAAAGAGCTCACGAAGTCAACGAGATTCATTTTGATCAACAACCTTTATCGGAAACGGAAAGTGATGCATCGACGGTGATCTTGAAAGAAAAACCACAGGAAGAGAGTATTTCGGCTACAGTTCATGTACATCGACAGGGTGAACACATTCACACAAAAATCTCCCAATCTGTTGAAGAGATTCACGGGGTTGAGCCACGGTTTGAGCCACCGATTCCACCAAGGGCACCGCTTGGCTCACTCACTCCACCACCAATTCCACCGAAAAGTTATCGAGGCGAAGATGATGCTATGTATGTACAATACAATCAACCATCACCGATTCCACCAAGAAAAGTGCCGACAACACCGATTTCCACTTATAATCCATATACTGTTCAAAGTGAAATCGATAAAGAAGTGATAGAAGTGGGAAGTGTCGATAGAGAAGTGATGGAAGCGAATCGAAATAAGACTTTCTCTCCTGAGCCAGTTATTGATGAAGCTGGATATGCTGTTCCGGAAAGAGTTCTCTCACCACCACCTGAGTCAAATAAAGATAAGAAATGGACATGGAAAGGAACGAATTTATCATCGAGAAGCCGAACTCCGACCGATTATGAAGTGGCTAATTTGATGGCTGAAACGGCTAGAATTGGTCAATTGATAGAATAGTTTTAGAATAAAAAAAATCATTTTAGATTTGATTCACGAGTATCAAACGAGTCAAGAGATTCCACATATGGTTGAGCCGAATCACGTGAAGAGTCCCGTTGAAATGGAAAGGGTTTTGAGTCCGGTCGGTTTTTGAAAGATTTCATTGTGATTAGCTGTTTTCTTGAATTGTTTTCCCCCCGTTTACTAGTCATTCTTGATTTAGTCATTTACCAATCAATATTCTTGATCAATATCAATTAATATTCTTGATCAATATCAATCAATATTCTGGATCAATATCAATTAATATTCTTGATCAATATCAATCAATATCAAATCCCTTTTCAGGTGTTAAGCCGAGAGCATGAGGGGTTAACAAAATTGCGCTATGATGATGAGCTTGAAGAACAGCTGAGAGCATCAATCCTTCACGCAACAAAATCCCTCACTCAAACCGAGAAGAAACAGGTTTTGATAATCTTGATGGGGTTTATGATAAAGTTAAATAAGTTGAATGGCCAACTAATTCCAGGTGAGGTGAGGGCTCCGCAATCATTTTTTGATTTAATCTTTCAAAATAATCGACTATAAATATGGTTGAACTAATTGAATTGGCTTTTCATCCATTGAAAATCTATCGAATTAAACTTTAAATGACTCCCAGCTAATTGACTTCCAGCCAAGCCTTCAAGCCAATGCTTTCCTTTTCTAACATTACCAGCAGAACAGCCGGCCTAACGGTGCTTCAGAAATTGTAAAAATGATTGATAAGTTAATAAGATTGATAAGTTAATAAGTAAGTAAATAAGTTAATAAGTAAGTTAATAAGTAAGTTAATATATAAGTAAGTTAATATAGTAAGTTAATATATAATAAGTAAGTTAATAAGTTAATAAGTAAGTTAATAAGTTAATAAGTAAGTTAATAAGTTAAAAAGCCTTTTTTTCTTCAGGAAACTAAGCCCCATAAACAGCCGATCGAATACGCATCAATCAATCGCTCACCGGCAACAGTTCATCAGCAATTTGATGCAACTTTTTCTACAACATCCAGCATTTCTTCCACAGATATTGTTCATGAGGTAAAACTGAATAATTTGTATAGTTTATGAGAATGAATAGGTGATGTCTCGAAGAAATCTCCGTCTTGATGGAGTATCGATTCGACCAATCGACACGACAATCACTCCACCATCGACTCCAATGACAAAGTAAAGAATTTGATGATCGTCTGGCTATATACAGTACTGGACAATGAAATATCATATTTGAAAAAAGATCGTCACTTTCGCACGTCTGTAACTCCCTTGTCTTTGAGTTTAAACTATTAGTGTTCTACATTTTCTGAAAGCTCTTTTCAAGCGCTACACAATGGTAATATTAATATTTAGAAATACGGTAAAGACAAGGAAGTTACAGACGCGCGAAAGTGACGATCTTTTTTCAAATATGATATTTCATTGTCCAGTAGTGTAAATCTAGTTATAGTTCGTATCTTAGTCATATAAAAACTATGATTTTCACTGAATACTTATTTTGATTCTTTGCCTCATTTCAAATTTCAGTCTTTCATCGGTGCCAACACACTCAATCGGGGATTATTTGAGAAGCACGGATAGGTTGGGAGATGATGAACTTTATTGAAATAAAGATCAACATTTCAGTCATCTATCAACACATCACGAGCACGAATTTCACGATTTAGTTGATGGGGAAAAGAGTGAATCGAAAAAGGTTTGAAATGGGGGAAAAATGGGGAAAAAATGGTTAAACATACTGTATAATTTGCTAGAATCTTTTCAATTTTCACGATTTCTTAAACAAAATCGAACTTTATCTGACTACAAACACTAAATTTAACCTTTCAAATTCCCTCTTCAGAGTTCTCCAATCTACGATGAGGTAGCTCGCGATTCATCAGTGAATTCATCGATTCACACACCGACAACACCAACACCAATTGCTGCCAAAAGATCGGTGAGTACGTCCAGAAAGTAAATCAGAAGAGAATTTGCTTCTAAAAATTTCACTTTCCATTGATCAATCAATTTCAGCCAACCACCATCCACAAATCCATTCCATCGCCTCAAGCTTTTGCCCCGAAATCGGTGAGCACGTAGTTTAGGCTTCATTGTTTCATTTCATTTTATCTCCCGAATCTCTTTTTACTGTTCATCTAGCTTTGGAAGACACAAGTCATAAGAATTGTAAAATTTCAGCCAATCACCACCTCCAATCCCATTCGATCAGCTCAAATTTCTGGTCCAAAATCGGTAAAATTTTCTTAACAATCCCTGAGCTTTTTCTAAATTTAGCCCCAAATCGATACGAGTTTGTCGATGGAAAAAAGAGGCTCAGTTCTTGAAAAGCAATTTATTGAATGAGATCAAAGAAAAGGTAATGAATCAGGAAAAGGTTGGATATGTTGAAAAGAAATAGTGACTTTTATCCTTTTATACTTTTATTAGGCAAAGAATCACGAGTATGATGAAGTTGCAAGAGATGAGAAACCGAAAAAGAACGAGAAAATCGGGATTTCAAATGTTTGGATAAAGTTTTGGCTAGAATCTTTTGAATAGAAATTGCAGGAATCGATTCGACATTCGGATTTGCGTAAAATGAGAGAGATTTCGGAGAAAGGAGCTCATCAACAACAACATCAACAACATCAACATCAACAACATCAACAACAACATCAACAACATCAACATCAACAACAACATCAACAACATCATCAACAACAGCAACATCATCAACATCATCAACAACAGCAACATCATCAACAACAACATCACAACAACAGCAACATCATCATCAACAACAACATCAACAACAGCAACATCATCAACAACAACATCATCAACAACAGCAACATCATCATCAACAACAACATCATCAACAACAGCAACAACAGCAAGGATATCATCACGTTCTGGTTAGTTTAAGCTTAATAAAGACAACGATACTTTTTGAAAGTTCACGCTTTTTAAATCAAAAGAATTCAGAACACTGGCGCCTACACATCGACGGTGGAGACAAGTTTTGGAGATGAGAATGTCTATGAAGAGATTGATCAATATCAGATTAACGCTGTGCAAAGAGGTGAATGAATTGATCGTTAATTTGTTAGCTTTCTTTTTCAGCTCCTCCACCAATCCCTCAATCAGCCATTCCACAACGAGTTCAAATGGCTCGAGAGACATTTGCGCATAAACAAGATTCGAGTGAAGAGCGAAGTAAGGATGAATCAAGTTCATTTATAAAGCTATGAAAGATTCTAATAAGTAGATTCTAATAAGATATAATCTTCAAAAGTCGATCTTCCAGGATACGAGGGAAATCGCTATCACGATGAAGCGGCTTTTGGTGAAATTGGCGAAGATGAGGCGCTTGATTGGGAGCTTATCTACACGGACCAATGCAATTCGGACAAATGAGTCGAAATAATAAATGGAGAGAGAGTATTCTTAATAAAGATCGCATACCAAAGGTATTTGAAAGAATAAAATGAAATCGTATCCAATCATTTTAGCCACAAAAGAAGCAACAAAAGGAAATACCCGATGTTTTGCCGAAAAACTCGCCATTTGTTGTGTGAGTTTTGAGCTTTTTTATGTTCTATTGTGCTTTCTAATTCTCAAAAAAGAAACTACCGTAATGTTGTCTCTGTGGAAAATACGAATAATTCCATCATTGCTGTATTTTTCGTTGCTGATAGTTCAGTGGTAGAATAACGGCTCGACTGATTTACGACTGATTTATCTGCACAAAGAGATCTTATAGAAAAAGTGGAAGAGATTTAAACATATAAAGCACAGAGATTATGAATCTAAAGAAATATCACAAATTCACTTTATAGATTTCGGAACAGTTTCAATTTTCAGGAAAACTGTCGAGCCACCTCCGCGAAGTAAGACGCCGACTTCATGGACAAAAAACGAGGGTTTCACCTTTTCAGTTCCCGGGATACAAAGGATTGATTCAGAGGAAAGAGATGGTCAGGAATTGAAGATTATAAAGAAGATTATAAAGAAGATTATAAAGAATATTATAAAGAAGATTTTAAAGAAGATTTTAAAGAGGATGTAAAGAAGATTGTAAAGAAGATTGTAAAGAAGATTTTAAAGAAGATTTTAAAGAAGATTGTAAAGAAGATTGTAAAGAAGATTTTAAAGAAGATTGTAAAAAAGATTGTAAAGAAGATTGTAAAGAAGATTTTAAAGAAGATTTTAAAGAAGATTTTAAACAAGATTGTAAACAAGATTATAAACAAGATTGTAAACAAGATTGTAAAGAAAATCAAATTTTAGATCCATCATTGGATTTGAAAGAGAGATGGGGAAAATTCTGAACGAAGAATCGAAAGGCGACGTTTGGAAAGAGGAAAGAGTCGAGAGAAAACATGTGCCACCACATGTTACAAATATCGGTTTGTTTTCGCTAACTTGCATAGCAATAGAATTATTGCCCTTTTTCCTAGTACATAACTTAAATTTCAGGTGCAACAGGCTCACAAATCCGCGTCCCAAGCGTTCCATTGCCTGTTCAACATTCTCATCCACAACCTATCAACCTTCAAAAACCGGTTTGTAACTGAAATTGTTTTTGATTCTCTTTGTAAATCTAGATAATCTAGATCAACAAGATCAACAACAACATTTAATTTCAGCAAAATCTTCCCCAATCTCAACGATCTCCTTCAACTCCTGATGCTCATTATTATCAAGGATTTGTCAAAGACATTCGACAAATCTACTCGTGAGTTAAACACTAAAAAATATTAAAAAATCCAAGATTTAGCCAACCAAATCCAGTGAAATGGGAAAGAAGTCAATCAGTCGGAAACATTTACGAAGTTCCAAGAGGGAATCCTCGTCTAAATCAATCGAAACGAGAGACGCAACCGATTGTGATCGAGAAATTGGATCGACCAGTCTCTACTCCAAATGTGACACGAACCGAAACTGTGACAACACCGACATTCGTGAAACAATCAACGAGCAGTCATGTGGATACACCGGCAAGAGAAACATTCAGTGCAACGAGTCCAGCTCGGCTGATGAGTCCCCGAAGATTGGAGAGTCCTCGGCCAAGACCCGTTGATTTGAGTTCCCTCAGAGCTGATCGCGAGTATCGGTTTGTGATTTATATTTGAAGTGAAAGAAGTTTCAATTCAGTTTTCTACTCTCTCCGCACACCAAGCCCGTCAACTCCAAAAAGGACGCCAAGTCCAGTCTTTAGGTAGATTGCTTAGTTTTTTTTCTTTTCGCTGGCTTTACTGAAGGTCTAACTTTGCTCAATTTGAGTCCTGACCTATAAAAAGTTGTACTTACCTGGTTTGATCCAGATCTTGCACCTGGCTTTGTAAAATTTCTGATCTTTGGTTCTAGAAAGATTTAAAAAAGAAATCTAAAGTAGATTAGAAAGCACGATTACGATAGCTTTTAAAAATTGATTTACTAAATTGATATCTATTGGTAATTGGTAATTGATTGTTAATTGATATCTAAGTCTACATTCTACATGTTTCAGAGAATACGCTCAAGTTCAATCTCGTGTCGAAAGCACATCAAAGGATGAACCGATTTATGATGAAGTTCAAGAAGTTCAAGAAGTTCAAGAAATTCGACAACCATCTCCAGTCAAACAATTCTATTCGCCAACTTGGCAGAGGATTGAGCGAAGAAATCGCTCGATCCAATGCCCAATATATTGATGGTTTTGATTTAAATGTTTATCGAACTTTTGAAATATTTAGAAACGACTCAACATTATCATGAACACCGTCAACACCATGAAGTACACCGAGTGAAGAAGCTCATCATCATCAGGATCATCACCACCATCAACATGTTCACCATCAACATGCTCACCTTCAACATGTTCACCATCATCCAGGTTTTCAAAAACTCATTTGCTTTATGAGAATTTGGTTTTAGAGACAAGAGTTGAACAATGAACCGCATGATTCCCATCACCATCACCATACCGATTACAAACATTTGAATGGGCACTCGAAAATGAGTGACGAAGAACGATTCGTGATCATTGGTGAACTGCAAAAAACCCCACTTTCGCCAAAACCAAAACCCGTTGATTTGAAAGAAAGAGAAATTGAGAGACGTCCTTCTCCACAAATAAGGAGAAAAACAAGGGAAATCCTCGAAAGGAGGGAGGAAAGAACCCGAATTTATACAGACACAACGGGAAATATTAAGAAGAAGAGAGGAAAATCAGAAGAAGTTTGAGGAAATGTTGAAAGCTGAAGAAGAAAAGAAAAGAATGGCAAGAGAAAGGGAGGAAGGAGAAGAAGAGAAAAGGAAGAAGAGAGGATCAGAATCGATGTGGAGGAGGGGGGAGGGGATGAGGGAAAGAAGAGGAGAGAAAAGAGTGAAGAGGGGGATGGAGGAGAAGGAGAGGTTGAAGGAGAAGAGGAGGAGAGGAAAGGGAGAGATCAGGAGAGGAAGAGGGAGGGGATATGGAAGAGATGGGCAGGGGAGAAGGAGAGGAGGGAAAGAGAGAAGATCGGAGAAGGAGGAGGAGGAGAGGAGGAAGAGGAGGAGCACAGGGAAGTGGGAAGAGGAGAAGAGGAGGAGAGATTGAGGAAAGGAGGGAGGAGAGAAGAGGAGAAGAGGCTGAAAGAGGCTGAAAGCCGGGGAGGATATGATGCGTATAGGGATGCGGAGAAGTCGAGGATGGAACCCATTTATGATACGGTTTATGAATCTCCAGGATTGGCTAGACCCAAACCGTTTGTGGAAGCGACTTATGAGGCTGTTGAGGCGGAAAGGGACCCCAAATTTGGAGGTAAAGGAGAGTCCGAATAACAAGCTCACACCAACTGAGGTAAAGGAAATATTTGAACTTGAAGAAATATAGAAAAATAAATTTAGGGAGGAAAATGGCAAGTGGAAAGATATGAAGATGAGGATGTTGAAAGAGAACAATTCCTGTATTTCAAGGACATGTCATGCATGATGGAAGAGAGGTAGAGCTTCTTCTCTACTTTTTTATAGTACTGTAGTATTGTATTCTATATTACTTTAGTATTGTATTGGGTTAGTGAATTGAAACGTAATGAATTGAAAAAAATGTAGCTGACGATGAGATCTTGTGGGGGATTAGAGGGTTGAGCTTCTGCAAAAGCTTGGAAACCGTAAAATCGACATCAACTCGGCTCGCCGGGGTGCACTACTAATTAGAGAGAATACATATATGGTATTCAAGAAAAGTTCGCAACTATCTCGTCATCTATTGGGTTGGTGAATTGTAAACTGCCGGACTTTGAACTAAAATTTCATTGAACATAAAACCATGATTCATTCCAAATAATTTCCATTATTATTGACGACTTCTGCCCATTTTACAGGCAATTTGCGGATTCCTCTTTCGTAGTAGGTTTTGGTTTTGAATCGAAAAACTTTCAACGCCAATTTTTGACTGCTTCTTCCGAATCGAAGTGTTCTCCCGCAAGCTCATTACTCATGATCCGGAATAAATAGTAATCAAAAGGGGCAAGGTCCGGGCTGTATGGGGAATGCGCCTAAAGTTCCCAAACAAGGCTGTTTATTTTAGAGCGAGTCAGTGTGAGACTCAAAAATGGAGGACTGGAGATGTCCCAGTTTGAGCACTTTCTTCAAAAGAAACCCTTTTGGTGTCAATGGAAAAGTTGTAGAGAATCAAAAATGAGGCTTATAGCCAAATTTCCAAAAAGATACACTTAGTAGTTTTGCTTAAAATGCAAGTTTTGTGAAAATTCGTAAATTTGGCAAATTTCTTGAAAACCAGTTTTTGAATCGTTCTGAAAATTTGGATATAAGCTTGATTTTTGATTCTCTACAACTTTTCCATTGGCACCAAATGGGTTTCTTTTGAAAAAGTGCTCAAACTGTCACATAGACAATAGGCGGCAGTTTTCAATTCACTAACCCAATATTTCTATGATCAAATAGTTTATTCAAATCTTTCAGATGACAGTTTTCCCTTTGGCTTCCGCTCATCACGTTGATCAAGTTCATTATCAATTAGGAGAAAATCAAAGACCACCTGGAATCCCCGAACATATCGATCTAACGTAAGATGATCAAATGGATCAAATGATCAAATGATCAACTAAACATTGAACATTTATTCAGAAATGCTGAAGAAGTGGTTGTTGAAACGAAAACGAAAGTCGTCACAACGGTTAAGAGGAGAGCATTGACGTAAGAATGAAAAGAAATGAAAAAATTTGATTGCGAATTTTGGAGGTGAACTCTTCGAGGAGAATTATTCAAGTGAGATCCAGTGGTTTCCCCGACTCAGTCCACATGGATTCACCTGTGCAAAGACTTTATGGGTAAATAAGCCAAAAAAGAAATACACAGAAAAGCTATTTCAGGGCTCAAACCCTCGAGCATCCACACCTCGAATCGCCATGGGGTTCGACGAAGTCCCTCGACGGGAAATGGTCGGCGATGGGGCGAGGTCAATTTACGATACCGTGCATTCGACTCCCCGATCATTCACACTCGCAAAATCTCGGGTTTGATTTTGGACAAAATTTTATCCTTCTCCCTGTCTACATTGTGGCATTAACATAATAAATTGAATCTAAACGAGATCTTTGACAAGATCGCTCTCAAAATGTCTCAGCGAGAGCGACACTCGGCTTTGAAAACCTTTCGACTTTGAAAACAAGCTATATAAAAGATTGAAAGCTTGAATTGTTTAGATAATAGGCACTGTTTTAGAAGACATACTTAAGATTTTACTCCAGAAAAATTAGAATGCTTGGTTCAATTTTGGCTAATCTAGGCGCTACTCAATTGTGAGCAATCTAGGCGCTATAATTGTGAACAATTTAAGCGCTATAATTGTGAGCAATCTTGTTTAATTTCTTTCGATTAAGCTCAATTCAGAAGCTTCTGTCGACTATGATCTTCTGTCGAGGCTAAATCTCGAATTTCATGCTTTTTAATGGATCAAATTTCTGTCTTTTGGCAAAAAAATGGCTAAAGAAATCTTGATTTTTACAGAAATTCTATAGGGACAAAAGATTTTATGAAGAAATCCGGGGCAACATTTCACTATATGACTAGCATTTGGTGGTTTAACATAATCTGCCTTTTCTCACTCAATAAAGGGACCATATGTCTGAAGGAAATCTTGTGGTGGGGAGGAGGGATCTTGTATGAAAGGAGGAGAGAATCTGATGATGAAAAGAGGGATGAGGGGCTTTGCGTGTGTCATCTCCTCAACAGACTTCTTATCCCCTTCTTCCATCCTTCTTCCATCCTTCTTCCATCCTTCTTCCATCCTTCTTCCATCCTCTTCTTCCTCCCTTCTTCCATCCTTCTTCCCTTCCCATTCTTCTTCCAACCTTCTTCCATCCAACTAAACCAAGAGTCAGCTCTGATCTAAAGTTTTTAAGAGTTCTAAGGCAAAAAATCAGTTGCCCTTTTAGACTGCGGTTACTATAAATGTAAATTTGTTGTAAATGTGGAAAATTCAATCTAGCTACTACAGTAAATCCTTTTTGAGAAGCCTTTTGGAGAAGCCTTTTTAATTCAATTTAAGCTGTCATATTGAGCTAAATTTGCATTGAAAAGTTGATCTAGTATTGATTGAGTTTCTTTTGTTTTTACTTTTGTTTTTACTTTTTGTTTTTACTTTTGTTTTTACTTTTGTTTTTAATATCTTTAAGGCTATACCACTTTGGAGTTCTGTACTGATTTTCCAATTTTGATTCTGATTCTGATTTTTGTATTTTCAAAGTACACCAGTAAAAAGTGGTAAATCCTTGTTTTGAAATCAATTTCCCCCCGTGATTCGTGCATTTTGTGATGCCAAATGAAATCGAGTAATAGAAAAAGCCAATTCTTTTTTACCAAACTGTTATCTTCTGGGGTTTTCAAGGGATTCCTTTTCTTTCTTTTCATTCCTTTCTTTTTCATTTTCTTTCTCTTGATTCCTTTCTTTTATTTACTCTTTAATAATCTTCCCTCTTTTCTCTTCCCTCTTCCCTCTTTCCTCTTCCCCCATCCCTCTCCCCCTTCACTCTTCTCCAAAAACTTCCCGAAAGGCTTCTCCCCTCTCCATTCCAATTCCCTTTCCCCTCAAATCGATCGTTGTTTGTCTTGTTTTGTCTGCTCGCTTTCTCTCATCTCTTCAAATCTTTCCGAATTTTCTTTTTCTTTAATTTCTCTTTTCCCGTTGGATCTCTTGATTCAGTCTCTCTTCTGTAGGAAGGCCGGAAACATCCGAGGCTTGTTTACTGCTCTTTTCCATTTTCCTTTTCCCTAGTTTCACTCACTCTTCTTTCACATCCATTCCCCAAGTTATTATCTTCAACTTTTGCCCATTTTCAATTCTATTTTTTTCGTAATTCTCATTGGATAGAGGCTAAAATTAGAATTAAACTGTCGATTAGCAAGAGAGAATTTCAACATTTATTGCTAGCATTTATTTTCGAGAAATTGATTTTTAAATGGTAATTTGCATCCTATTATGGTAATCTTTTGCAAATCTCAGGGTTTATTTTAACAATAACAATAAATTTGCATTCATAATATCAACCGTAAGAATGGTGATTGGCAATGCATATGATTAGTGGAAGTATACTTCATACTTTCCACTAATCTATGCATTGCTTTAAATCCTAATTTTTCTATACAGGTTGTGTATTCTTTAAAAAAAAAAAATACATTTATTGAAAACCAATAATGTGATACAAACAAAGGGTACATGATAAGACATAAAGGTTAAACACACAATTTTATGGCACTGCGGTGCGCGTTCTCACCCCTATTTACCCCTATTACCCAAATGTTGTGAAAGAAAAACCCATTTGGTGGGAAAAAGAAACATTTTTATTTTGCCAAAGTGATTGAACCCTCGACCTTCCGCTTCAGAGACAAGACTCCTAACCGGTCGGCCATCTGGCCATTCATATGGAAATTTTTCGATTCTATGCTAATTTTGCAGCTCAAATCATCGATTTCCCTTAAACAATAACAGTGAATTTCCATTTCTTCAAGTCATTTTTCGAGAAGAAGGCCGTGTTTTCTCGTTCTATCTACAGCAGAAAAATCATATTGAAGTGAAAAAAGGGAAGAAAAAAGGAGAGCGAATCCGGGCGATTACCGAATCGGCTCGAGTTGTGTCCCCTTTTCTCCTTTTTTTTCTTTTGCTCCGATTTACCCTCCCTATTTACTTTTCACAAAAAAGCGCCGTTTGACCAGTTTACTCTAGAACCCATCAAATAACAGAAAATTTTTGATTTCCAGCAAGTTTTCTAATTTTCATTGACTTTGCTTTTCACGATGATCCAGTTACAACCAAATTTCTATTTATTTATTTATTTTGCAAGCCTTGTCCATTTGTCTCCAGCCACAGATTCATCGCCATTGAATTCGCCTTTGTTTTTATTCCTCTAAACCAAATTGGCCAGCTAGCTAGAAAATGGATAAGGAAAAAGAGATTTCCCTTTGCAGTTTCCCAGAGGAGTCGCTTGGTTTGAGGGGAGAGAACCCCTGAGGGCCAGAGCTGAGGCTAGGCTGCCCCGAGTCCCTTCACGGGCCCTTTATCCCTTCAGCCCTGTTTAGATCCCTAAAAAACTAAAGCGATTCAGCCGTTTTTTCCCTATTCTTTCCCTATTCTCCTTCTGTTTTCTGAATGTCGGTTCTCTTTTCTCTTCCTTCCTTTTCTCTTCCTTTTCTCTTCTCTTCCTTTCTTTCTTTTCTCTTCCTTCCTTCTCTCTCCTGCCACACATTTCCATCCTCTTCTCCATCATTTTTCCCCTTTCCCAAACAAGACAACACTCCCATTTTCCTTCAAAAGAAACTACGCACGCTTTCTTTTTTAGTTCTTTAAGTCAAATTTTTCTTTATTAACTATCATAATATAAACCATATCATATCACTTTTAATTTGTGTAAACTACTGGACGGCATTAGAGCTTACTGTAGATAGATTGGATAAAACTAGAGCCAAGAATACGATTCTTTTCGACTCTTTAACTCTACCCTTCCATAGTATCCACTTTGCCGAATCGGGCAAAAAATCGATGCAAATGTTTATTCTTCGATGGCAAAAGAAAGAAAAGGAAAAGAAAAGCGTTGTGTGCTACCCTTCAGGAATTCCTCTCCTTTTTTGTGTCATTTTCTTGGAAACCTTTTAAAACTTTTTAAGCTTTATTTTTTTTTAAAATGAATCAAATGGGTTTAGTGCCGAGGATCGAGTGCCAGCTACACCATTACAGGAACATTTCGAGACACAAAGGTATACAAAGATATTTATGAACAATTCAGTAGCATCCTAAAATAGCTATTAGTATAATAGGGTAAATGCAAGTTTTTAAATGACGTACAAGAATTTGATTTCAGATCACAGCCTGAGGTATCGCTCAATCGGTACTAGTCCACCGGAAAACTTTCCCCGGTTGGTTAACAAGTTTTTTTTATTAAATATCATATATTTTTAAATAGCTTTTCTATCCCGGTTCCTAATCATTTTTTGAAGTGAATTTTTACGCTAAAATAAGTCCCCTAATAAAGCCAACGCTATAGAATTTGAAGAAAGATTTGAATCCTTGAAAGCTAAGTAAAAAAATACAATTTGATTTATCCCTGTTTTTGTTGACAGTTAAGGATATAAATAGATGACTGTTTTGAACGACAGGTTCGATTTGAATAAAGACAGAAGCTCAAGGTGAAAACGTGAAAACGAAAAGCTTTTTTTAACTCCATTCGGGACGATTCGGTCCACGGTTGGACGAAGAGGTCGTCTGGCCCCTGGAACCCCTAGGACCACCAGTGAGAGCGAACCAGTCCACTGGTGGACAAGAGATTATTGACGCCCTATAACTTCTCCAACTTTTTAAGATGATTCCAAAATGTAAAAGATTCGATTAGTTCTTTTTGAGGCGAGGAAATATTTTCCAAATATGATTAGGGATGCAGTTTCAGGGTGAAATTTTACATTTAGGAGGTG